CTCGCAAACGATACGAATTCGATATTAGTTCGTGCTAAGGGTACTTATAACTACTATAAGTATTCAACTTAATAATTACGTAACTATTTACCACGATATTTACATAGAACGGTCGCGGTGTCACTATGATTCATAATGATTCATCAGCGGAACTGAGTCCTCCGAAGTGATACTTTACTGATTAATCATTAAGTATATTTTATATGACAAATGTAATGTAGTTTTATTTTATTTTTTGTTAAGCATTTACCTCTTACAAGATGTTAAAATTTAAAGGAAATTTTACTAGAAAAAATTTCACGTTTTCCAACAATGGTATTCTATAAAGGTTCACAAAATATTTGTGCGAAGTTCCATAGCGGATTCAAGGTGGATCCACGCGTGAATATTATGTGATTATTAATGAATAAAATAAAATGAAGTAGAATCCATCAATAAGGTTATTTTAAATAAAAAGACAATCAAGTGAACATTTTTTAATCTTCAACAACAATGTGAATAAAGATTTTGATGAGCGCATTCGTGAAAATATTTAGTTTAATTCTCAAACTTATCTTTGGCTGCCAAACCTCATTGCTTACTTGGCACAAAAGAGCATAAAATAAAAAAAAATAACCTACTTGATTACGAAAACTTTACTGTCCCGGCAAAATCCGAACAAAAATAACAAAAGAAAGTAAGTACATCTTCCCAGTCTCTTAGATTGTCGGTCATCCGACTGGAATGACTTTTATGAACTCGTTTTTTACTTTTAATTCAGGTTTTTGCAGGGCATTTGTGTTATTTATATTATTTTTAATGTAAACAGTATAGAAATTGAGTTTGTACGGAACCCTCGGTGCGCGAGTCCGACTCGCACTTGGCCGGTTTTTTTCACCCTTTTTCGGGTTGATCCAGATTATCTAGGTCGCAATGTGACTAATCCCCATTTTACTATATCGCAAAATGACTACATAAAATTTCGCCTCGATCTTTAATTGACTATATGACATCACTATGCGATAACCATTATGCATCCTAAGATCGCAAAATGACTAGATCTTTATTTAACCACTTGACATAATGACTATATATAAGTATAGTAAAATGACTACATCTTTATTAGACCACATCTCACAATGACTAGGTCACAAAATGACTAGATAGCTTATTTATCTATTTATTTATTTCAGGAAATCTACAGCATTGTCTTATTTCTAGTTAAATTAATGATTATGTTTTTATTTTTTAAGCATTTAACTGGTAGATGTTTAAATCTAAAGGAAAGTTTACTAGAAACAAATCTATCATTTGTGTTATTTATAATATTTTTAATGTAAACAGTATAGAAATCGAGCATGTGGCCCGTCTAATTGCTCAAAACTAGACTAGACATTAGGCAGACGAGTGAATGAATGAGTACTGGGACTTTTTGGCGGGATCGGAAGCGTCACTTTAGCAGTTTTGTTTTTCTTGTTAAAAATAAGGTTGGGGCGGATGTTAGTGTCTAATAATGGTGTATTATTAACCACTAAGTGTTCGGGAACATGCACAAGTGTTGGCAAGTGAAACAAAATAGCGAAAAGTGACTTTCGACGTTCTCTCAAGTAAATCCCCACACTTTTACTGAAATATAGGGAAAGGGGGATTAACTTGACTGCCACTTACTTTGACTTGATTTATTACTTTGACCACAAGTGCTATAGTATTTGTAAACATTTTAAGACTTGACATTGGCTAAATGCACAAGACGTGCGAAGCCATTTAGAAAAAAAAAATACTGTCCCGCCAAAATCCGAACCAAAAAAATCAAAAGAAAGTACATCTTCCCAGTCTCTTAGATTGTCGGTCATCCGACTGGAATGACTTTTATGAACTCGTTTTTTACTTTTAATTCAGGTTTTTGCAGGGCATTTGTGTTATTTATATTATTTTTAATGTAAACAGTATAGAAATCAAGCATGTGGCCCGTCTAATTGCTCAAAACTAGACTAGACATTAGGCAGACGAGTGAATGAATGAGTACTGGGACTTTTTGGCCGGATCGGAAGCGTCACTTTAGCAGTTTTATTTTTCTTGTTAAAAATAAGGTTGGGGCAGATGTTAGTGTCTAATAATGGTGTATTATTAACCACTAAGTGTTCGGGAACATGCACAAGTGTTGGCAAGTGAAATAAAATAGCGGAAAGTGTCTTTCGACGTTCCCTCAAGAAGTCCACGGGGAGGTTCCAGAAATCCCCACACTTTTACTGAAACATAGGGAAAGGGGGATGACTTGACTGCCACTTTCTTTGACTTGATTTATTACTTTGACCACGAGTGCTTAAAACTAAACTAGACATTTGGCAGACGCTAGATGCTTACCTACTAGATAATGCTAGTTTTCCCCAAGCAGGAGTGGTATATCTGTGCCCTCGTAAACATTAACTTAGCTCAGCATGTAATCATTTACGCTGTTGCAAATGATTTGAATTACTCCTTGTTGTTCGATAATTAGTTAATTTGTTACAATAAATTGTTTAATTTACTTGTTATCGCGGCGGGACGGGAAGCGTTCTTGTCAGTGCGACGTTCCTCAATTAAATACATATCGGAAGATATCTAATATAGTGGGTTTTTAAATGAAATATTGCTTTAATAAATTGCGAGATTGAAAATGAATTAACACCGAATACTCAAAGTCGCTATTGATTGTAATAACTTACTAAATATATTTTGAACAAGGGTATATTACACATGTACTTAATAAAAATATGACAAATATTTTGCATTTAAGAATATATTTTTGTATGTATAACTTTTTCGTTCTTAGGACAAAGGAGTGTGAGTACATGCGTTTGATTGACTTAGGCCCGTATTATAAATGTGCGGGCAGTCTTCACAGGGTACCGCAACCTTAGATTAAAACAAAAAGGGTAGATACGGTACGCTCAAACTAGCATTAAATAAAATATGATCCGACTCAACTACATAAGCAACTCTCGCCACGCACACGTCTGTAAAAAACATCAATTGAGCGAGCGAGACAGAACTATACGTTTCAACGCAGCGTATTGTAGTCCTTTTCTTACTTACAAAATGGCGATTACGTAAATAATATCCACGACAAACCGTGATTTTTGAGAAAAAAATGTTTTCACAGTTTTACGAATGAAAAGTGTTGCCGGGGCATTTGATTTTGAACTATTTGTGTTCTTTATAAAAGCATCAAAGGCATTGTTATATCTTCATAACACAGAATATACACAATATTGTTATATTGAGTGTAAATGCAGCGTGTTTGAATGTCAAATTGTGACTGAAGCGAATTATGGTCGTGGACCACAATTTAAGCGGATCACTTTTGAGCCGCGAATGCCGTATCTTCCCTTTTTGTTTTAATCTAAGATCGCAACCCCACCCGCACTCCTGACCCGCAATGCTGGGACTACGGTCCTGGCAATGCGGGTCAGGTGACACGGTGCAGGGATATCGTCTGGTTTTTAGTGGCCCTGTTCATAATAATAATAATAATAACTTTATTGCTTAAAAAACTGTGTACAATTATGCCGTTGGAATTGCAATAATAACATAGTCACAACAGTGTGCCCACAACGGGCATGCAATGGTAAAATGCACAAAATATCCACTGATTTGGCAGACAACATTATTTCCAGCTGATTAAGTTTTGCTCTAAGACTCTGTATATTTTGGTGAACATTGTCAACATGAATACCAAAATTTTTTTTATTTGCGAAAGGAATTATTTTTATTATTATTTACTAGGGTTGCGGGACAAGATGCTGTTTGCTGTAATAAAGGATTTCAGGGCGTAGGTAGGACCCTGTACACTTCATCTGGCCTCAGGGCTAGCTGAAGTGGACAGGGAGGAGTCCCACATACCTTCTTCTCGCTCCCCCAGTGGTTGAAGGATGCGGAAGGCATTTTCCAGACAAAAAAAAAGAAAAAAAAGGCCGGTATTATAGAAAGGTTATCAGTAATGAATTTAGTCTTGAGCATAGATAGAAAGGGATGTCGCTATATCTAGCACATAGCGACACCCCTTTCTAACTATGCTCAAGACTAAATTAATTACTGAGAATCTTTCTATAATACGGGCCTTAGTGCATTTAATAACTAATAAGCCATGTAGCCTTACTAATATTATTAATCTGTAAGTTTGTATATTTGTTACTCAATCCCGCAAAAACTCCTGAACGAGTTTGGTTGAAAATTAATACCCAGCCCCACCGGAATGAAGTCAAGATTGAAGATGATGGAAGGCTGATGCGGCTGAAAGAACATGCCTGTCTAAACATGCTCGATGGAGGAGCTCGATGGGGCAACCAGGGCGGATCCGGCTTTGGCGCCAGGAGGGGGGGGGGTCATATAGTCGTGGTTGTACCCAGCCCAGGGGGGGGGGGGTCATGACCCCCATGACCCCCCCCCCCCTGGATCCGCCCTTGTGGGGCAAGTGGTTAGCGCGTTCGGCCTGCGATCGTGGATGTTAAGAAACGTTCGCAATGGTCATTTATTGGATGGGTGATCAAAAACTTCTAATCTCTAGCTCCGGAACCTTTAGCTTCAAAGCTTTTGCAACTCAAGTATTGCAATAATACTTGAGTTGCTTTTCAAGAAGTAAGGGTAGGGAGGTCTGTGCATCCAAGTAGTTGGTTGAGATTTCGGAAACAAGCTCAAAATTATAAATTATTTTAGGAAGTTTATGTTCGAAAAGTGCTAAGGTGGGTCTGGCCGAATTGTAACCTACCCATCAACATATACCAATAAAAGTTGTGGAATCGAACATAGAATAGATACATACATCGTCATCATCATAAGCCTATTAATTTTGGTCACCCATCCAATGACCGACCATTGCGAAAGTTGATTAACTTCAACGATCGCAGGCGAACCCGCTAACCACCCGCGCCATCGAACTCCTCATATATGATAATAGAATAGCAGAATTTAAAAAAAAACTCTTTAAATATTACTGTAATATTAAATGTATTCAATACAACTACTACTTATGTGAATCATACATAGACATTTCGTATGTCTCGTTGACCGTACGAAAATAATTTTATAAACACGAGTTATCATTATGTTGTCGGTCAGTGCGTAAGCGCAACTTGACGCCACCGGCCGTCCTAACTTAAGTAGGTAACTTAATTAACGAAAAAATGTGCCAATCTTTAGTGACACGGATTTTAGTGTTAGTTAGTTATATGGTGTTTAGTGTATCTACCAGTGATATGTTTCATGTGAAAAGTATGACTACATTTAGGCCAGATCAAGTGTCCGATTATTTTGGATATTCAGTGTCTTTGAGCAATTTGGGGTTTGTATTTTTTTGTATAATAATATTAGAAATATGTAAATACAAGCTCGATGGCGCAACTGGTTAGCGCGTTCGTTGAAGTTAAGCAACTTTCACAGTGGTCGGTCATTGGATGGGTGACCAAAAATTTACTATCTCGAGCTCCTCCGTGCTTCGGAAGGCACGTTAAGCCGTTGGTCCCGGTTGCATCTGCAGTCGTTAGCACCCACCAATCCGCACTGTGCCCGCGTGGTGGGTCATGGCCCAATCTCTCTATTCCATCCATAGGGAAGGCCTGTGCCCCAGCAGTGGGGACATTAATAGGCTGATGATGATGATGATGATGTAAATACAAGTCTTTTCATGTTATTAAAAAACGACTTTATAAAAATAAAACCGGTAAAAATTAAGCAATAATACATACCTAAATATTTACTGTTAAATGCAAGTTACATTTAATGTCAAATCAGCATTTGATGTCGGTGTCATACGAATCTATAAGCAGTAAATAGCAACTCATCTATTAACATCCATGGCACTGAATCCAAATGTAAATTTGACAGTTAAAAGTAAATGTATTATTTAAACATAAGTAAAGCGTTCTTAATTTTTATTTTTGTACAATCAGTTTTTATTTTTGTTATAAAAATATTTATTTATAATTTTTTTAAAGCCAGAGTTACAAAAACTCTCTAAATATAAGAAGCCGGCCTGCATTTTCTTTTAAAATAACCAAACACGGATTGAGTACTCGAGGAGTTCTATTGTTTGTTTCGAAAATACTGATCATATCTTCACTAAATTAAAGCACAAACATGTCGACAAAAAACCTTTAAAATAAAAAAAAACGTCAATATCGCCCTACCTATCTCTGATATATATATATACACACAATCATATTAGTGTTGCCGATCGATAGTTGACTATCGATAGTCGACAATCGATTAATCATCGATAGTCGACTATAGTAATAGTCTATCGATAGCCAACCAATCGTATGACAATCGATCGGCTTATCGATAGTATCGATACTATCAATAGTATCGATAGCACAGAAAAAGCCAATAGTATCGATAGCACAGAAAAAGCCAATATTATCGGATGAGTTAATTACTATCGATACTATCGATAGCATTGTAGTTCCTTAAAAACAAACTATCGATAGTATCGATACAGTCGATTTTATTTGCAAACATACCATCCATAGTTTAACAATTTGCATAGTATTGTTTACAATTTTTTAGTCAATCACAATCTTTAGTCTAAAACAAACGCTAGTATCGATACTATCGATAGTATTGTTGCAGATAAAATCAACAGTATCGATAGTATCGATATAGTATTGCACTCATTCGATAGTATTTCCTTGTTCTGAGCTATCGATAGTTTCGATACTATTGGTTGCTTCGATTCTATCGATAGGCTACATGATTTTCGATGTAAACTGTCGATAGTTTTAATATCGATAGTTCGGCAACACACACATAATACAACGCGAATAACAAGAAAAAAAAACAAAAAATCTGATGAATTGAGAACCTCCTCTTTTTTTAAGTCGGTTAAAAAACCTGGTAACTTTACTTGTAGCGTAAATACTGAAATTTTGGTTTCTATATATTGAATACAAGCTGTGGCCCGCGGTGTTACCCGCGGTTTATTAGGGATATTTTGCCGCAGTAAAACGTAGCTTATGTGTTAACCCAGGGTGTCAGCTAACTCCATACCAAATTTTATTAAAATCGCTCCAGCCGTTTAGACGTGAAGAAGTAACAAACATACACACTCACAAACTTTCGCCTTTATAATATTAGTGTCATTGCAAGGAAAATATATTTTGTTTACATAACGCATGGGTTTTTACGCAACGTTTTACCCTAAAATTTTGCGAGATTTGCTCAATAAAATAAAATTTATCCTTTATTTGCGTAGGCGTAGATATAATTTGAAAGAAAATACACTGTTTTGTTTATAATCATACACGCATGCTTAACTAAACTTTATATCCACAGACAAAGATTTATATCACATTCTTCTCTCTGCAACTTGGTTTAGGTTAACAAATATAAAAAAAATATATATAATCATAAATAAATGGGAGACAAATGAATATACAGTTAAAATAAATATATGCGGACCATAATATTGCAAAGTCCTCATAGTATTTGTTAAATGAAAAATATAATAGGCGCCAGATGTAATTAAGCGAGGAAGTTATCAGCTGCCGGTTTATACGCTATAGTTATTTATCTTTCAGCGGTACAAGATAACGGACTGTTTAATTACGGAACACAATAGGGAATATGCATGTTTTTTTTTATACTTTTATTTATTAGCTTACATGTCCTTAATGAAGTGTAAAAAAAATACATCGAAATTGTTTATGGTGCCTAAAAATTTTTTTTAAATAACCACTTTTTATGAGCGCGCTCCCAATATTTTATTGGTAAAATTGGCATAACCTGTGAACATCATTTTTGTTAAATTTTTTCGTCACAACCGCTGTTTTCGCGTAATAAATATTTTAATTTCCCATAAATTTTTCGACCCTCTATATCATTAATTTCTTGCTCGAAAAGATATTTTGCTAACAAATATTAATGGAGGGACAATTTAAAAGTTATAGAGTTTATATAAATAATAATTGAAGCTTATTACGACTTCGTTACTGAATTTTTTTTTTGAAAAACAAATGAATAGGAATGATGACCAATTTTTGTTTCTTTGTCTATCAGGTAGATTATATCGAAAAGTATTAAACACGTATTTTCTCATTTTTCACATAATCTTGTGCAGAAATTTCTTGTTATTTGCACTGCCTTCTAAGACTTAGCTACAATTCTCCGGTAAACAGGAAAAGAATGCGTAAAGGCATTGAGTCCGCCATTTGTAAATCAATTTGTGCAAAGAATTTAAGACTAATAAATAATCAAACGATTACAGAGATAGGTCTACTGTACCCCTAGCACGAATCATTATCGAATTCGAATAGTTTGCAAACCAAAATGTCAATGTCAAATTTTGTATGGAAACTTGAACAGCAGCGGCACAAAGTACGTAACGAGAACTAAAAATCAGTACACATTTGACAATGACATTTCGGACTCGCAAACGATACGAATTCGATATTGGTTCGTGCTAGGGGTAATGCTATTGGTTTAAAATATCGTATGACGTCACGTTTTGGTACAATTTTTGTACTTAGAAGAGATGTCAAGAGACTTACAAACTTTGACACGCTTGTCTTTGTAATTTTCCCAAAATCGTTCAGCCGTTTTTGCATGATTGAGTAAAACATACAGACACCCATTCCCCCTCCGTAAGGATAATTTCTGCGATAAAAACTATGTTATGTCCTTTCCCGGGACTCAAACCGGTTAAATCGGTTCAAAGGGTTAATCGTGACGAGGTAACATACAGACAAAGACACTTTCGTATTCATAATCATCATCATCAGCCTATTAATGTCCCCACTGCTGGGGCACAGACCTTCCCTATGGATGGAATAGGGAGATTGTGCGGATTGGCGGGTGCTAACGACTGCAGAAGCAGCCGGGACCAACGCTTTACGTGCCTTCCGAAGCACGGAGGAACTCGAGATAGTAAATTTTTGGTCACCCATCCAATAACCGACCACTGCGAAAGTTGCTTAACTTCAACGATCGCAGCCGAACGCGCTAACCACTTGCGCCATCGAGCTCCTCAATATTTAGTATTCATAATATTAGTATGAATATAAGTAGGAAGTAGGATGGCAGGATGAATAGGTAGAATTATAATATTGGGAAGTAGAATAGTAGGATTGGAAGGAAGGAAGTAGGACCAGTAGGATTACTGGGTAGGGACCTGCCCATTTCCTCGAGCTCCTGAGCTGCATGAACCGGGTAAGGAGAAAGAAAGAAAGAAAGAAATAATTTTATTTGAAACAACAAAAAAACATAATAATATAAAAAATAAAATAAAACAATTAAATTTAGTCTCAAAACTGTCCCAACTCAGCATAGTGCTAAAGTTGCCATTAGCGCTGGTCTTCCGTTGGAACCGGTTTGGTGTCACACGGAACAATAACAACAAGAACAACAAATAACATAAAAAAAATAAAAAACCAGGAATAAAAATAAAAACAAAACATGCTTGGCTGAACGTATCAAAATATCTCTGCCACAGCCATTTAAAAAGAAAGAAGAGAGGAGGAGTCACTTCCATTATATCCTTGTTACACTCTCCCAGTGGCAAAGGAAGGCGTCAAGCATTGAAATGAAGAAGCAAGCAAGAAATGAAATAGACTAGTAGGATAGGATGTCAAAGCATATGGAACTCGACGTGGTTGGGTCAGCAGCCACTTCGCCAGTGTTTTTGTAATGTTCGTGGAAAATGATGAAAAAATTGCTCGTATACAGGATATTTACTAATGACGAATTTAGACGTAATTTTTCTCAATCATCATGACGCCTTTGGGTGACACACCAGACGTGAGCTCATCCTACTATTCTATGCTATTATTAATATCATAATTGGCTCGTGGGAAAATTTTGTAGATTTTTTAATCACTTGATTTAATTTCTTTTTTTGTCATGAGGAGCTCGATGGCGCAGCTGGTTAGCGCGTTCGGCTGCGATCGTTAAAGTTAAGCAACTTTCGCAGTGGTCGGTCATTGGATGGGTGACCAAAAATCTTCTATCTCGAGTTCCTCCGTGCTTCGGAAGGAACGTTAAACCGTCGGTCCCTGCTGCATCTGCAGTCCTCATCGGCCCAGTGCGGATTGGCGGGTGCTAAACCCGCTAAAATGATTGGTTTAGTCCTTGGGATTTTACGAATACTTAAGTCTAAGCAGACGAACTTCTAGGCAAAATAGGATAAAATAGTGCACATTTTTTTGTGAATAAGGTCTCCTTTTACGGTCTTGAGACGCTTCCGCGTGTTTAGCCAATTCAAGTTAGCAGAAATGGCGAGCAGCACGGTATGTAGCGAGCAGTACGTGAACCATTTGAAACTTAGATTTAAACAAAAAGGGAGGTACGGCACTCGCGGCTCAAAAGTGAGCCGCTTAAATTGTGGTGCATGACCAAAATTCACTTTAGTCACAATTGGACATTCAAACACGCTGCACGTGCACTCATTATAACAATATTGCGTCTATTCTGTGTTACAAAAATATAACAATGCCTTCGATGCTTTTATAAAGAACACAAATAGTTTAAGATGATTTAACAACTTTGACGGCGACACCTTTCATTTGTAAAAGTATGAAAACATTTTTTCTCAATAGTCACGGTTGTCCTGAATGTTATTTACTTTTCGCCATTTGTTACCAAGAAAAAGACAACAATATAGCTCAGCGTTTGTAGAGAGAGAAAAGAAAACGCAGTAGCCAAGCCAAGCGACGCGGACTCGCCGTTTCGCTTGCGTTGCGTTGAAGCGTACACCTCGCTCGCTGGATTGAATGTTTATTTACAGAAGTGTGCTTGCATTAGTGTTGCCGAACTATCGATATTAAAACTATCAATAGTTTACATCGAAAATCATGTACCCTATCGATAGGCCTATCGATAGAATCGATACAACCGATAGTATCGATATTATCGATAGCTCAGAACAAGGCAATACTATCGAATGAGTGCAATACTATCGATACTATTGTAGTTCATTAATAACAAACTATTGATAGTATCGATACTATCGATAGTGTTGATTTTATCTGCAACAATACTATCGATAGTATCGATACTAGCGATTGTTCTAGACTAAAGTTTGTGATTGACTATAATACCTGCAAATTGTAAACAATACTATTGCAAATTGTTAAACTATCAATAGTATGGTTGCAAATAAAATCGACAGTATCGATACTATCGATAGTTTGTTATTAACGAACTACAATACTATCGATAGTATTTAACTCATCCGATAGTATTGGCTTTTTCTGTGCTATCGATAGTATCGATACTATCGATAAGCCGATCGATTGTCATACGATTGGTTGGCTATCGATAGACTATCGATTAATCATCGATAGTCGACTATCGATCGGCAACACTAGCGTGCATGGAGTTGCTCATGTAGTTGAGTCGGAGCATATTTTATTTGATGCTAGTATGAGCGTACCACATCTTCCCTTTTTTTTAATCTAAAATTTGAAATCACTTTAGATTTTTCTTCTGGCCACAACAACCTAACGTCACTTAGTGTAAAGTGACAACTCCCCGTCCCATGACGTACAGTTAAGCCTAGTGTATAAATATGTCAGTTAATATATGTAAGAAAAAACTATGATGCATTTGCAAAAAAAAGTCAAACCCATTACTTTAACACGAGATTTAAGAACAAGCTTTCCGTTCCATGTTTCAGACTCCAAAAATCAATTCATTTCTGGGTTGTAGTCTTGCATTGTTTAATAAAGTTCCCCTAGATCTGATTGAGCTTCCACTGACTAAATTTAAAACTCAGATCAAAAATATTCTTATGAATAAGGGCTATTATAAAGTTGATGATTATCTAAATGATCGTAATGCATGGACATAGTGTTTCTTATAATTTGTTATTTAATGGGTATTAGTCATTTTAGTTCATAACAGTAATATTGTACCTATCTAATGCCGCTTCCTATATACTATATTTCAGACGTATCTCTGAAGTCATTTTTCAACTTGACGACTCTGTATATAACAATACAGGGAAAAAAAAACAGCCCTTGCTGAGTTTCTTGCCGGTTCTTCTCAGTACAAGGTCTCCCGCCGTAGTATTTCGAACCGATGGCGTAGCTTCTTGACCTTCACAAGTGCTTGTAGCAGCCTAGACTGAATAAATGACTTTTCATTTCATTTCATTCGCTGTACTACTTGTTTTTTCAAATCTGCTGTCTTTCCCAGACTCCACGTGGGGGCTCCGAAGGCGAAGAGCAGGACAGTGAAGGGCATCGCTCCAGGGCTGGTGTTCTCGTGTCCTCTGACAGATGTCGACAGCAGCAACGCGAGTTGTGACCCACTCGGGAAGAATGGTAAGTACCTAAATGATCTATTCTGTCTCTTTAACTTTTTCAACTTTAAATGTGGAACTTTGTATGTTTATTACTCAATCACGCAAAACGGCTGAACGGATTTGGATGAAATTGAGCACATCATCATCATCAGCCTATTAATGTCCCCACTGCTGGGGCACAGGCCTTCCCTATGGATGGAATAGGGAGATTGGGCCATGCCCCATCACGCAGGCTCAGTGCAGATTGGCGGGTGCTAACGACTGCAGATGTAGCCGGAACCAACGGCTTAATGTGCCTTCCGAAGTACGGAGGAACTCGAGATAGAAGATATTTGGTCACCCGTCCAATGACTGACCACTGCGAAAGTTGTAGTTAATTACCTGAATTGAAATATATAATGCTTTTTATCCCGAAAAAAATTAGGTTACTGAGGGACTGTCGCTAGTCTAATAATGAATTACTACAATAGTTGGTTATTTGTTCTACTTACACTTTTTGCTGCGAATTTGAAAGTCATATCATGTTGGTCCTTTGGAGGTAGCGTCTGAGAGTAATCACTGAATAAATACCCCCAACTCTTAGATTATAACAAAAATAGAAGATACGGTACCTACGCTCATACTAGCATCAAATAAAATATGCTCAGACTCAACTACATAATCAACTCTTACGCACGCACACACTTCGGTAAATCTTTTCTTGATAACAAATGGCGAAAAGTAAATGGAATTTATGACAAACCGTGATTTCTGAGAAAATAAGTTTCCATTGTTTTACGAATAAAAAGTGCTGCCGTGTTTGTTATTTAATCTTGAATTATTTGTGTTCTTTGTAAAAGCATCGAAGGCATTTTATATTTTATCGTTATAACATATAATTATTGCGTAATTTTGTTATATTGAGTGCATATGCCTATTGTGCCTAAAGAGAATTGTGGTCATGCACCACAATTTAGTGCCGTATTTTCCCTTTTTGTTTTAATCTAAGTTTGATTCGGTTTGTTCCTACTTGTCACTTTGAGACAACATCTCCATAGCATATTGGTTATTAACATTTATCTTAAATCCATTGTCTCTTAAATCCTTTCCATTCATGTCATTCCACCAGTAATGTCGGACATTATCAGTGAATCCACAAACCTTTTCTGTAGTTTTGATTTTCACATGTTGATGTGAAAATTGTAGCGTTTTGGGTATTTTGTCAAGAAAAAGTTAGTAAGCCCAAACGTTATATTATGTTTCGTTATTTAAAAGTAATCCAGAGAAGAAGGATTAGCGAATTGAACCGTTCTCGTTTGCTACTAACTTCAAGTACCTACCAATGACTATTGTTTATTATGTAACTGCGTTCGTTATGTACGCTACTGTTTCTTGACTCATAATATTATTATAATTTATTATATTTCCGTAATTATACTTAGTCATTAATAAACGAATTCCTATGTATTTGACTAAATATCTATTTTTAGAAAATATAAATATGCGTTCGGTCTGCGATTGCGGAAGCTGAATAATTTATGTAATGGTCAGTCATTGGATGGGTGACCAAAAAGAATGTAAACTTGATTTTAGAATATTTGTTTCTTAGGTTTTCACGCACACCAATCATTAAACAAAACTAGTTTTGTTAATGCACGAACTTTATTTATTTATTAACGTTTCGCAGCCTTTGCAGGTCTGTGTCGAGCTACCTTCGAAAGACACCTTCTTTCGAAGGTAACTCGAAAGACAGTTTCTTTCGAAGGTAGCTCGACAGTAAATAAGAAATCATTATTCTGACGATGCAGACCTCAAAAGGCTGCGAAACGTAAATAAATAAATAAAGTTCGTGCATTAACCCGTTAAAACTAGTTTGATTTTAAAACTTTGGAGCAAGTAGAGCCAAATATAAAAAAAAAGAAATAAGAAAAAAGCAATCTACTTAGGCCTGCCACATTAGGGCGAGTCCACATCACCTTACGCTGTCGCACTGTAGAAACCTACGACGGTCGTACAAAGCATCGCGGTAATATCCGATGCGTTGCCGGCCGATGAAATTTTTTCGTAGCGTCATCGTTTTTTCGACGCGACGTCGTAACGCAGTGTTTTGTTGCCTCGCTCTAATAGCCCTGTATCGTAAAATTGAAAGAATTGTATCAGCTTTTTCCTTTTTGGATTTATTTATATATTTCACATTACAGATAGCTCCAATCATCTAATGAGGAGCTATATACCAAATGATTTCTATAAAGATGACATGTGGTTCGGAGCTGTTATAGCTGTGGTACCCAAAGACAAATTACTGGTAAGATTAATTTAAGAAGTCCCCTTATAAACTGCGAAATATGTAATGCAGACAGAGAGATTTGAAGTTAACACAACCAGCCTTTTTTTCCATAGATTGTGAAGTTTATACTATCAAGAAATATAAAGTTTAAAATTAGTTTAGAAATCGGTCATCAGTGGAAGCAACGACCAGGAGGCCTACTCTAATTCAACGAAAAACGAAATTTCGATCGAAACGACGCACTTTTCTTACTATATTTCTGGTTCGTTTTTAATTATAATAATATTCGTCGTCGGAATATAGATTGAGGTGTAAATTTTCTAAGCCTAGCCAAGGAAAGCTTCAATCTTAAATCTTAAATTGACGAAATAAAATTTTGTTTGAACATCGCTATCGAAAGTTCGTTTCGCAGAAAGAGAGTAGACCCCTTGAATACCTAAAGAAACGCACGCACTTGGTCGCACGGCCAACTTTAGTTAATCTAGTCGTTGCGGCCACTGGTCATGATCGTGGTCGTCTAGTGCGTGAGGTGCCTTAATCTGGTCGTTGCGGCCACTGGTCGTGGTCATGGTCGTCTAGTGCGCGAGGTGCCTTAATCTGGTCGTTGCGGCCACTGGTCGTGGTCATGGTCGTCTAGTGCGCGAGGTGCCTTAATATGGTCGTTGCGTCCACTGGTCGTGGTCGTGGCCGTCTAGTGCGCGAGGTGCCTTAATCTGGTTGTTGCGGCCACTGGTCGTGGTCTTGGCCGTTCAGTACGTGAAGTGCCTTAGACATTGGATATTATTGGGTAACTAGACCAATGTGTGTCTGTACTTAATATCGATGAATGGTATTTTGTGGTAATTATACGCAAAAGGATAATAATATTTGTATTCATTATCATATTTATATTATGTCTGGGATAGGTACCGTATCTATTAGACTTTACCAGCAGCTGAGTATCGTTATTAACAGAAAAACGATTACTCATTAACCGAAAAGTACTCTACTCGGTCATTAATTATGATGGGCCATATAAAAGTTATTATTTTCTTATCAGGAAATATGTTAAAGTTTAATAAATAAAATCACATAAATAGTGAAATAACACCTTTTTTTACATTATAATCCAAACAAAATTGATATCTATTTGACTCAATATTTTATTTATTAGTGTAATAAGAAAAAACTAAAAGACTTTCTTAGCTATTACGCTTGGGATTCCTAATTCGCCAGCGCCAGCCACCTGATAGATAGTCAAGAGAAAGTCGCCTAGCTATTTTCTCTAACACACGTTGCTGACTGCTCATTCGACTTTGTATAGGAAATCTAGGCAAAGTATAAAATTAATATTATTTCATACACTCAATGGGATTCAAGTCAGGGCTGAGCGCTGGCCAGTCCAATGTGGCGATACCGACTTCTTCGAGGTATTCCGTTGTTACACGAGCAGTGTGACAACGAGCGTCATAGTGGCTAAGAAGGAAGTCATCACCGATATATCCCACATAGGGACTACATATTCCAGCAGAATATCGAAAATATACCGGCCCGAAGTTAGACCGCCTCCTCGTCCCCCGCCAGGCACGAAAACAAGCTCGGTTTAACCATCGAAAGAAAATGCACGCCCACATCATACAAGAGCCGCCCCACTGTTTCAGTGAAACAGCACTGCGCAAATCGCTCCCCAGGTCGCCTGTAGACCCGACCTCTTCGGTCGCTACTGTACAAACACATCCTACTCTCGTCGGAGAACAGAACTTGCCTCCATTGCTTAACCTCCCAATGCTACCCCACACACATCTCGGAACTCCTGTTGGACGTCGATACCAGTTAAATGCCGATTTCAGAGAGAGGTTGACACGATAAAACGGTCATCCCTCTCCGATGAGCACCGGCGCCGTCCAGATCTTGGTTTCGAGATAAAGCCAATAGTCTCCCGAAAGCGCTTGTAAACTTTCGAAACACAGGACTGGCTTATGTGGAGACGACGAGCAACAACCCGCTGACTGAGCACTGATCCTTCTTGCAATAGGGCTACGATTTGTGCTGCTTCTGTAGGTGTTGTCTCCATTGTCGTACAACGTAAAGGGTCAAAGTAGCAGCTACCGAAATTGGAAGTGAGATTTTATTTTACAGAATCGCTTACTGGTCCCTTCCACCACGGGAGTACTAGAAATAATAGAAAAGAAAGAAGGACTTTAGAATTATGACGTAACTAGTTGTCATAAGTCTTGCAAATGCAAGAATGACCACTGCTTCAAACGTACCAACTCCCAGTTTTTTCAGAATAATAATAACATTCGTTTTACTTCTAAATAATCATCATCATCAGCCTATTAATATCACTACTGCTGGGGCACAGGTCTTCCCTATGGATGGAATAGGGATTGATTGGGCCATGACCCACGCGGGTCCAGTGCGGATTGGCGGGTGCAAACGGCTGCAGATGCAGCCGTGACCAACGGCTTAACGTGCCTTCCGATGCACCTTCTAAATAATATTAAAGTTATTTATTGGACACAAATACCAAATAAAATAATATATAGAAGAAAGAGTGTTCAACAGGCGGCCTTATTGCTAAGTTCGCTAGCTCTTCCAGATAACATAATATGTTGGAAGAAAAGAAAAAATATATAAAAAATATGACTGGTGCAATGTGGTATAAATTGAAAATATAATGGGGATAATAAATGATTTAAAGGACCCAACTGACACTGTTCTGTTTCTTAGGTTTTCACGCACATCACTCATTAAATAAAACTAGTTTTTACGGGTTAATGCACGAAACTTTATTTATTTATTGACGTTTCGCAGCCTTTTCAGGTCTGCATCGTCAGAATAATGATTTTTTATTTTAGAAAAGGAAAAGGAAAAGGCTGCGAAACGTCAATAAATAAATAAAGTTTCGTGCATTAACCCGTAAAAACTAGTTTTATTTGACACTGTTCTCTTAAAAAACTAAGTTTGGTAGAATTCTATGCTTACCATTTAATGGAATATGGTAAGGAAATACTGTTATCATATTTTAGTTTTAGGTGTAGAGAATGTAGGCCTACGCAATAAGTTTAAACAAAATAAAAATAGCAGATACTTATTCATATTGTTTATTTTTATTTTATGTTTTAAGAGAGGCATAGCGAATTTTCCGCTCGAATTGGAGCGCCCCTCTGTGGTAAAATAACACTACCTTTTGATGGTGTTGTGTTTCTGTGGGTGAGTAAGGTTCCAGGGGTCTACGGGATAGGCGAAGAGGTCCTGACCTCATAAAATATCACGAAAAATATCACTTGCGCCTTTGCCTACCCTGGTAGTCAATGGGGCGAATGGTATTTCTAAAGTGAAACTTCTTTACGCAAACTTGACTTTGGGGAGTAAGATGGCGAATGCGTTACGTGTTACGAAAAGTGTGTTCGGGTGAGGCGAACGGGAGTTGAGAGTGAGATATAAGTGTGAGAAAGCAGTGCGCGCACACATTTTATTTCTCTCTTTCTCTTATAGCTAGTAAATGAAATTTATATATATATAGGGTGAAATTGAATGTTTCTATGAAACTTCGTGAGATTGTTGGGTTATGTGTATAGAGTATGCCTGTTTTTTTTCGGATTTTTTTGAAGTATTTTTTTTCATGTTTTTATTTATAATTTGTGTATTTTTATATCCTTTCCTCCTTTTGAGTAGTTATTCATTTTAAACAAACAAACTTACATATCCAGTGAAAAATAACTAATAAATAAGTACTTCTAAAAAATGGAAAAACATTAAAATTCCACGGCGGGTCAACGACCGACCGCGCCCGCCAGCCGTTGAGTGAGTAGGTACCTCTACACAGAGTTCAGTTGACTCCTTTGATTCCACACAATACAATAAAGTCGTCTTAGATGCCTTTATTGAAATAATAAGCACAAATGTCATCTTCTCTTAAGCAGAGAAAAACTTTAAAAGTTAATAATAATTTTGTCACAATTAGAAATAGGCAAATGTTAAACAAAAAGAAATACTTATTGCAGTTCAATACTTGGGTGAAATTTATAACCCGGTATTCAAAAGTACTTACGATACCGATGTACCTATTCATTTTTTTCACTTAAACTTCCCGTATACACTTTGTAAACACAATCAATCACCAAACCTACTTTCGTAAAGCCTTGTGGCTCTGCTGAGTATTCCGTGACACTACAATAACAACACACCATATCCAATTTCTTATATTGAGGCCACAGAACAAGAACTAATCATGCCATTATTTGCAAATCTTCTCTTGTCACAAATTTAAAAGATACGCACGCGCGGTGGATAAACTTGACACTGCGCTCGCTCACTGCGCTTTGCACCGCGCATAGGTAGGTATTCAACCGATTCAACGGGCGGGAGCGGTCATTGCTCCCGACCGCTCGTCTTCTGTTTTTACGTTTTTTTAGTAGTGCTAATTAGTTGTTTTTTACTTACTCTGTATGCGTGTTTAAAAAGAATAATTATTTAGTACCCAAAAGGAGATTAAAATATAACAAAAAAAACGAAATTTTATTTTAAATCATTTTTAAAAAGTCCGAAAAAATTCAGAGATACTCTATATACGTAACCCAATAATCCCACGAAGTTTCATTAAAACATTCAATTTCACCCTTTATATACATACAGATGGAGATAAAGAAATTTCACTTCAGTCGTGTGGTCATAAGCACACTCGTTTTTTTTGTACATGAACAACAACATGAAAAAATGTATAAAATAATAACTATGATATTCCCTTTATTGTTTCTCCAGATCTGTGCCCCGAGGGAGATGGCGCCGTATAAAGATAAACACATTTTGATAAACGGTGTATGTTACATACGCGGGAAGAACAAAGAACAGGGATTATACCCGCTCAGAGATGAACGTAAATATTGTTTTAGTTCTAAAAATGTTAAAGTGAGATTTAAACTTTACATAACACGGCAGCGAGTGCAACTATGCGCTGTTTTAGTTCAGTATATAAAAATACCAACCGTAGTGGTAACCTTTTCCTTTAAAAAGGCGGTTAAAAACCTTCAATTTGGATTACTTAGCCGCAACTTGCGCTAGTTCCCAAGTCACAATTAAGTTTGACCCGTACTAAATATTTTGTCCAGTCAAAAAATATCAGTAAGAGACTCTGTTTATTTCCATGTCAGTGTCATATTTATATAATTTCAAATTTTTATTCTATAAATTAAAACAGAAAGGGAAGATACAGTACGATCATACTAGCATCAAGTAAAATATACTCCGACTGAACTACATATGCAACTCTCACACACGCACACTTCTGTAAATAAACATTCAATCGAGCGAGCGAGGCAAAACTGTACGCTTCAACGCAGCGCGAGCGAAACGGCATATCCGCGTCGCTTGGCAACCGACTGCGTTTTATTTTCTCTCTTTACAAAATTAAATGGCTGAGCTATATTGTTGTCTTTTACTTGATAACAAACGGCGATCAAGTAAATAATATTCATGACAAACCGTGATTTTTAAGAAATAAATGTTTATAGTTTTACGTATGAACAGTGTTGCCGTGGAATTTGTAATTTGATCTTGAATTATTTATGTTCTTTAGAAAGCCATTGTTTTATCTTATAATACAGAATTTGCAATATGTTTATATTGAGTGTACATGCAGCGTGTCAGAATGTCCAATTGTGACTAAAGCGAACTGTGGTCATGCACCACAATTTAAGCGGTAAACTTTTGAGCCCCAAGTGCTGTATCTTCCCTTTTCGTTTTAATCTAAGTTTGATTCGGTTTGTTCCTTCTTGTCACTTTGAGATATCACTTTCGTAGCATATTGGTTATTAACATTTTCATACCCATTTTCAAGCGAATGTCATTCTCAAAATCTTCTTTATGTATACAACAATATTAATCAAAATTAGTTCAGCGGTATAGGACTCAAAACCTAATAGACTATTGGACATAGTTACTTTATGGATCTTATAAGTGTCAAATCATATGCAGCGTATCTTGCGCCATATAACACGCCTTTTTTCATTGTGTATAAATAGTATTTCTCGCAAGTTACGCGCAACTATTTCTATGAAAATCAATGTAAGTGCATTGATTTTGGATATACTGTACTTAGTGACGTCATTTGTTGTCCTCTATTATGCACTAACCAATTATGCTACCGCGATCTTATTGCCCGTGCCGAATTTCTTCTAGTATTTCTTAGGTTGTAAGGCGGCGCCATCTTCGCATTGAAGGTGACCCACAACGTCAAACGTCATACTTTACAAGTATCAAACATTAGGAAGAAAAAATAGCAATTGGTTAGTGCACCTGCCCGGATAGCGGAAGTTGCGGGTTCGAGTCCCGTCTGCTACCTGGACCGAGTGTATTTTTTTCTAGTAAAATTTTCTTTACATATAAAAATCCAGCAGTTAAATGCTTAAAATAAATGTAATAAACCTATCGATTGACGTCTCAGTACTCGAGTAAGGTTGGCTATTATTCGCAGACCGTCAAGCGTACAGGACCGACGGGGCCAGAAAGGAGTATGGCGAGTATGGGTACCACCTGAACTACTTCGCGTACGGACAGGCGGGGATGTCTGTGGCCGTAACGAAGAACAGCAGCATCATTATAGGAGCCCCGGGAGTGCTGCAGTGGACAGGTGAGGCATTTGATAAAGGAGTATGGCGAGTGAGGGTACCACCTGAACTATTTCGCGTACGGTCGGATGGGGATGTCTGTGGCCGTAACGACGAACAACAATATCAATATAGGAGCCCTAGGAGTGCTTCAGTGGACAGGTGAGGCATTTAATCATAATTAGTCTATTAATGTCCCTACTGCTGAGCCGTGACCCAACACGCCGGGACTATTAGTGGGTGCTAATGACTGCAGATGCAGTCGACACCAACAACTTTAAGTTCCTTTCGAAGCACGGAGCAGCTCGAGATAATAAGTTTTATGGTCACTCATCAGAGGACCGACCATTGCGTGAAAATTGCTTCGCTTCCGCGATCGCAGGCTGAATGCGCATTTCTTTGACGCACTAACCTAACCTAACCTAACTAGAGATGGAAAAAACGGCTTATTTCTTAAAAGCGTTTAAACGTTGTACTTTTTAAAATAAGCGCGCTTGAAAAAAAGCTTTTTCCTTTAAACGCTTATTGGCTTAAACGTTCAAAAGCATGGGTAAAAAAAGGTAAATTTAAAAAATCAAAAAACCCGACTGCTTAATTATACTTCAAATAAAAACTGAAAACAAAAAAACAAGTCCAGTAGTCTATAATTCTGTTAATAAGGAACAAAGCTACTTTAACAGTCGGGACCCATTAGATATTCAAGAATACATAATATTTTTCAACAGTGGGTCCCGACTGTTAAAGTAGCTTTGTTCCTTATGAACAGAATTATAGACTACTGGACTTGTTTTTTTCTTTTCAGTTTTTATTTGAAGTATAATTAAGCAGTCGGGTTTTTGATTTTTTAAATTTACCTTTTTTATTTCACACTTTTTAGTTAGTATTTTAAGACGGTATATACTGTAGTCTTGTTACTTCAGTAAGGGAATTAATATCGCGGGAATTATTAAGTACCTTGCGTCGGTCTAAAAGATTGATCTATTAAGACATATAAAGACTTTACCAGCGGGGTCAAGGCTACAGATGGGCCTCAATTTTCGCAAAAATGTGTGAAGTTAAATCAAGTCGTTACATAAATATCTCTAATGTATGTAAATTTTATAGTAAACTAGCACTTACTCAAAAAGTCATCTTTTGTTTATGTTTTTTTTAATAGTTTAGCAGTAAATATAAAATTCATTTACTTTTATTCGTCGACTATTTAATATTGGCTGTGGCTGCATTGTCATGTCAATGCCGGACGTCTAAGATTATGATATACACAAATTCAGTGTCGGTCCCTAGTCTCATAATTTGATATACCTACATAATTCACAGAAACCTAATATGTAGATGCCAGAAGTTAACTTCAAATGTTTTTAATCACCCTATCTAAAATACCAATCAATGACGTTTATGTCGCAGGTTGAAGAAAGCAGTAATTCCCGTCTGTTGTTTTGGGCAATGGTGGCAACTGCCTTAGATCACTAAATTAAATAATTATGCAATCACCAAAGCAAAGTTTACAATATTTGATTAAACTTAAGGCACATAATAAAATTTTCATAACGTCAGGTAGAGCACCATAGCAATCTCATTTATTATCATTTTATAGTTCTCTTTGTAGTTTTCTTTTAAAGCGTTCACATTTAACAGGTCAAAGACTTTGTGTTCGACCCTTTTTTATTGGTAGTGCAAAGCTCGAATGAAGAGTACTCCCAGTAGTGCAATCATGGCAATTATTTTCCAATTTTTTTTTGTTTAAAAAATACCGAATAACGTATCACTGTTAAGCACAAATGCTAAGTAACTTTTACAAATATAATCAAATAAACCTATTACTTACTTTATTTTTAAATCTTTTTCATCTATTAAATACTTATCTTATCCTAACTATCTATACTAATGAGGCAAGATTTGTATGTTTGTAACAAATAATCTGTCAAACTACTGAACCGGTTTCAAATATTAATTCATCATGAGGTAGCTACATTATTTATTATAACATTTTTCTTTATTTAAATACATTTTGTCCGAGTGACATAGGCTATGTTTTATCCCGATAAATAAATTTCGCCCGTACAATGCCCGGGTGGATCACTAGTAAGTATAATATAATATTATAGATGCGAAAGTGAGTTTGTTTGTTGCGCTTCCGTGCCCTAATAGCTAAATAGAATATAATGAATTCCCATATAGAAGTAGATGGGAACTTGGTTCTTAGCTACAACATCGCAATACTTATAGGCATAGGGTGATGAAAGGGGTGATTTACCTATAAAAATCTACACTATTTACTTTGAATTTTGCAGAATTATTACAAAACCAATATTATCGCGAGCTGATTAATAAATACAGGGATTCCAATAACTATGCACTTACTAGCGAAAAATGGGTTATTTGTCTTTATATTAAGTAAACCTTTTTTGTAACATTAAGTAATATCGTTAAAAAAAATGAAAAACAGTAAAATTCTGAGTTTTTCATTAAAATTCAATAATCATAAATACCTATTATGATAATCTATTTTTCATCATTTAATAAGAAGGAACTGTATCACAGTTTTATTGTTAGTACTTCGTATAGGATCAGATACTGCGAATACCCCATTTTTTTTCTCTTACATAGTACACCGCGCTATTACTTTGTCATCGTTGTAACTTTTTAAATATTTGTCGAAATGACATAGTGTAAAAATCCAAGTTTATCGTCTTTAAATATCAAAAGCGATAAAATATATTTTGATAAAAAATGATTTGTTAATACAAAATGTGCATTTCGGAAATAGATATCAAATAATGTTTTAGTTTTGATTCACTATTTTAGCGGTAATGACTCACACATTAAAAATAGATATATGGTGTCACGGGCTTTTTTTAGAATTATTTAAGAGATACATTTTCACTCTAGATTACATTCATATAACTTTTATTGTTTTTGCAGTGCAGGCCAAAATGGCTCGCAAATGGGAGATTTTTTTCCGTCTTATGTGACACTTATTTTTATATATTGGCCAATTCACTCAATAACTACATAAATTATTATATATATGTAACTATCATATATGAGCTATATTACTGTTAAGTTTCATTAAAATCCATTCAGTATTTTTTAGGTGAAACAGTAACAAAGATCCATATAAACGTAAGATTGAAATTAAAAACGTGTGGTTAATATACAACTTTAAAGCGTTGTAGATCCTAAACAATCACATAAAATGAAAAATGGTGTTAGGAACCTAAATATGATTTTTGATTATCTAGACAGTGATACCCCACTCGACATAGTTTGTCAACTTATTTTTTTTACTTCGTCACAATATGGCGCCTAATTTTGCCCATATTGAATTTCGATTACTATCATATCTTTAGTAGCACTCCCATGATTGAGACGAATCGATTGATGTATGAATCATCAAAATCGGTCCAGGCGTTTGGTCTCTAGTGTGCCACAAAGGAACAAACATACATATTATTATATAGACTGTTAAACACATAACCCTGTCTGCGCGTCGCGCTTCGCGCTCTTGCATTGCGCAGCCGGGTAAAAAGCGCGACGTTGTGTTGTGTTTTTGTTTATATCGTTTAAAAAAGCGTGAAAAGTTTATTGTCGTTTTTAATGTGTTTTAAGTATTTTATTGCGTTTTATGTTCCTATTAATGAATTTTTTATTAAAAAGTTTACAAACTTAAATATTTTATATGCACATTAAATCAATACACGAAACGCATTAACACAAGCAAGCATACAAACACACCGTACAACAAACACGCGCGCTTACCCCGTCACAGTGAAAAGCGTACTGCTTTTCGACTTCGTTTAATTAAACGCTTTTAACGAAATGAGCGTTGGTTATCCGACCAAATTTTAAAAAAGTGCATTTTTTTACGTCGCATTATAATAATTCGCATGCTGTATTAACCGGCTCAAGAAAGATGGCACGCCGACGCGGCGCTGTAGTCGCGCGTTCTGTGGCTGTGATGCTGTGAAATATTTAGTTCCAAGGAATTCCGCGTACCCGTTTTTCGATACTGTAGTGGACTAGAAGGGTCGAAGTATGTAGTTTTCTAGCATAGACATAGATGGCGGGATTAGCACTTTTAAGTAAAAAATTTACTTGTACTTTTTTAAGTGAAAAGCTTATAACGCTTATACTTAAAAGCGTGCTTACAAGCTTAATATTTTAAGCGCGCTTTATTAAGCGCTTATCGTTTAAACGCCCACCGCTACCTAACCACCTGCACCATCGAGCTTCTCATCGCAATATTCATCATAATGTTTAAGTCATTTAAGTATACCTAATCAAACAATGAGGAAATCCGCAGGAGAACTAAAGGAACCGGCATCGCTCTGTTAGGCGGCCGGCGCTGATCGTCTTTTTAAAAAAAACCAAAAATTCCCGGATATGAATTTAATGATTTTTGATATACACAATTACACACGCGAACTCGAGTACCAAGTCCTGAGCTACCCGGATGGACCGTTCTTTCCCGTTGCCAAAGTCTAACTGCACTGTGGGAATTGATGGAATAATGTGAGGGCTGCGTTAATGCAACTCTGCAGTTTAATTCTATGGAAAATTACAGTTATACACGTTTTGTTGAATTAGCATTCTATGGTTACTAAGTCGGGTTATAACAACTCCCCCCTTTTAACGGAGCTTTATCGAAAATTAGGATGAAGCGGAGTTATAAAAATAATCAATGATAAGAGATAGCTTCAGGATTTGGTAAACAGTTGTACATTATAAAACATATAAAAATACAATAAAATGATTCCCAATAATATTACTCTAAGTAACAAAGTCATAATAATCAAGATTAGGACTAAGATCTCATCTCGTAAGATGAACAAGATTTAGTAAGATAATTATAAAAATGTAAAAATATTAAAAATTCAAATTTCTGGAACTAGAACTAATAAACTTATCTTTATGTCTACTACTATAAGGTTTACAATCGGTTCGACAAGCAGGTAAGGATTTAACTGACTGCTTATCTTCATCAGAGTTAGAGACATCTGTTAATTCTATGGAGTTAGCAAAT